TTCTTGAAAAATCGCTTCAAATATTGCAAGATCAAAATCGTACCTCCGTATTCGAAATTTATTGCTCCCGAAGACCATCGTGTTGATGCTACCCACTAGATTGTAAACACCCAGGTTCAACATCTGCTCGACTACGCGTCGCGGTTCGTCGCCGTAGGAAGCTCAGGTCATTGTACGTCGCTTCTGGTAACGCGTATCCCTCGCACTGTCCGACATTGGGCGATCGATGCCGAGAGCAATCACACATCTGTTGTCATCATATTTGAAAAACTCCGTGTCGGTCTCGCAAACGATCACTGACACATAAGCGACAAAAGCAACGAGAACGCGCGCAAGTCGAACCGCGAAACGCGCGGAGATGGCGACGACACTTTTTTTGTCACTATGTAGAGTTTCGATCGCGCGCGACTCTGACAGCTGTCAACGAGCGCAGCGACCGCGTACACGGTACCGTGTTCGGCGAGCGCTGTCAACGGAATGAGTCGGAGCACACAGCTCGTGGTGGAAGCGTTGGTGGAGAAACGTCGGTGGGGAGAAATCGCGAGAGTGGGGACGAGAGAGAGAGAGTGAGAAAGAGAGACTGAGAGAGAGAGAGAGAGAAAAACGTTTATTGCTGTTTCAGGATAAAGAACGGATGCGCGCAACAAGTATACAAAGATCAGAACTCGTTCGCAAGACGAACTGTAGAGAATCTGAAAGTTGAAGAGTGATATTTTCTGACATAGATAACCCGCGAAACTTAAAACATATAATATATAACATTGTTAAGTCTTTAAAAAACATGAATTACAAATTTAGTTTCAGAAATCTAAACACACACATTGAGTGGTTTTATAAAAGTTTACAAAGATAAGTTGGATTATGATTCGAGTACTAATGTTATATGTACATAAAATAGACTCTGATGCGTCTTACATTACGTAGGACGGATGTGTGTGTTTTGTTCATTGCAGTTGTTTCTCAATCTTTTGAGACAGTCGACGGTTACTTTTCTTGAATTTCTTTATGTAATTGAGTATTTATTATTTTGATATTCTTATTTTAAATCTCTGACATAATTCGACTATTATTCTGACTAATTTTTAAATCTTTTAAATTTTCTGACAATATTTGATTAATACGACTTATAACTTAGCTTGGCCGAACGCCTGTTATCATACGTGAAGCAAGTTATATTTGCAAGCGTCGCGAGGCAAATACCTTGCAATTTATATAATGTCTATGGCTTGGGCTTTATAAAAAATATTTCTTTATCAATTTTTTTAATAATAGCAAAGACTCTAATAAAACTAAATCTACAAAAGCTATTAATCCCTCACAATAATGTAGATTCTTTCTCAATGTTTTGTTCTTGTCTTAGTGTTACCGATTTTTCTGTTATTAATTAGTATTTTTTTCCAAAATTAACAATGATAATCACAAGAACTTTGCATCGTGGCAAACGACGTTTGTAACGACAATATTGTTTATTTATTGTCTTATCGACATGGCTTTGATGTAAAGCTTGATATACGTTGCAGAACCGAATTTGCTGAGTAAANTTCTTGCGCAATTGATATTCTTACGATTGACTCAAACGGGTATCGCTCGATGCACGATAATATCGTCGTGTAACGGGATCGATTGATTTCACCGTATCTTAAATATGACACTCGAGAGCGTTGAAGAGATTTTCAGTAAATATTAATGCGATCTCATGACGTAACAATGTTATTTTTGATTGACAAACGAATCTTCGAAATTCATATCGATCGACATTACGATTTTCAGATAGACCGTTTAATTAAAGGCGATGAAGAGAATGAACCGTACTGTTATGACCACAAAAGAAGATCAGTCAGGTACGTCAAATTATACTGTTGTAATATTTAATTGTGTTACTTCAGTATTGAAATAATTAACTTCAAAAAATATTGGTTTTAAAAATATATATTTTTATACTTTTGTTTATATATAAGTTTTATATATTATAATACTTATATATTATAGTTTTTGTGGCGATCTAACCGCATCGCCACGAGGCGATCTAACCATATCGCCATGACAGTTGTCAAAATTAGACTGACAGTTCGCGCTTGCGTTATTGATTTTTTACTCGTGGCCAAGATCAGTTCATTAGAGCTTTTGACAATCCGCCGCGAGAAAGCAATTATGAAAAAGTGTCGCGCAGAGATAAGTATTTCCAAAATGGTTATATCAACGGCAAATTTGGAACCGGAATTCGTTGAAGAAAATCTTCACCCTGTCAATGTAGTATCATGCAGCAGTCCTGGAAAGTCAGAACGCTACAGCTTTCTCCTGTATGATTGACCAGAATGTTGCATCATCCACTGTTTCTAAACATTTGAACGAGCTAGGAATAATTTGCAAAAGTGGAAAAAAGGTGAATGAATTGTCGAACGTTGCTATTCAAATTCGTTATAACCTTTGCGCTTCACTTCTTTCAAGAAAACAAGAAACAGAAGCAGTTTATGAATCACGTTGTGACTGCAAGTGAACAGTTGATATATTACGGTAAACTTGACCAAAACCGAACATTGGCATTAAAACGCGTTATTTGTGAGAACAAAGGTGTGGTGTTTATTTGGTGACCCCTGGCAACGGACCGCTATAAATTAGAGGTTCACGGAGCGGCGCAGTCAGACGCTGACAGGATGGCGGAGCAGGTGAAGTCGGTCAAGGCTATCCTTGGAGATTCAAATTTTCATCGACTTTTGGCTGAATTCCCGGACGTTGTTCGATTAACTGACAGACTTAAAACAGCTAAGCATTCGACCAGGCATCATATCAACACGACGCCCGGACCCCCTGAGTTTTGCCGACCTCGTAGATTGGCTCCTGACAAGCTTAAGGTTGCCAAGGCGGAATTCGACGCTTTGCTTCAGGAAGGAGTCATCCTTCTAAGAGTCCCTGGGCAACTCTTCTTCACATGGTGCCTAAGCCGAACAATGCTTGACGCCCCTGCGGAGATTATAGACGCTTCAATGCTTGAACTATTCCAGATCGTTACCCGATTCCACATATTGAAGATTTCACACAACCCCTTTTTCGTAAGAAAATCTTTTCTACGCTTGATTTATTGTAGTAAAACCATATAATCAGATTCCGATACATCCTGAAGATGTTCCAAAAACGGCAATAACCACACCGTTCGGTTTGTTTGAATATCTTTACATGCCTTTTGGACTTCGAAACTCGGCGCAGACTTTTCAACGATTTATCAATGAAGTACTCCATGGGTTTGACTTCTGTTACGCTTATATTGACGACATCCTCGTTGCCTCATCGTCAGTCGAGGAGCATGAGACCCATCTCCGACAGTTATTTACGCGATTCGACAAATATGGAGTGCGCATCAACCCTGCAAAATGTGTGTTTGGAGCAAAGAAAGTGAAATTTCTCGGTTACATGATTTCTGAGGAGGGCATACAGCCTCTTCCTGAAAAAGTCAGGGCTATACAAGAATTCCCGCAGCCGGCTACTATCAAGCAGCTCCGACAGTTCCTGGGAACAATCAACTTTTATCGAAGATTTGTACCAGGAGCTGCGGAAGACCAGGCAGCTTTGCACGATGTTCTCAAAAGGCCGAAACGGAAAGGGAGTTCGAAGATTGAGTGGACGACAGAGCTTTCCCGTGCTTTTCAGACTAAGCCTTCTCTGATTTATCGGGAGCGGGCGTAAAACACACGACAACACATACACAGACACACACACACACAAACACAAACACCTCCTAAAAAAATTGTAAAAAAAAACTATAAAGAAATATGTAAAGATGATTGTATGAAGCTTCAAGAAAGCGTCGAAAGCGTTCATGCTAATTTAATTGTTTAATAAACGAATTTAAATGTTTACACTCTAACAACAGTGTTATTGCTTCAACAGCCAAAATTTATTGTTCTTTATAAATAAATATTCTTATCACCCACGCCTTCAGTTCACTATGGAGATTGGTGGGGATAGACTCAATTTTTTGGACATCACTATTATTAAAAATAATAACAGATTAATAAACAACTGGTATCATAAGCCAACGTTTTCTGGTAGATACCTGAACTATTTTTCTAACCATCCTATTTGCCAAAAAAGAGGCACAATCATCAGCCTCGTAGACAGAGCCTTCTTTTTATCACATCCTAGATTCCATTCCAAAAATATTGACTTTATTTTTAATTTATTAATTGACAATAACTATCCGATGGACTTCACATATGATAATTTTATCCTTAGACTGAAACAGAATTTTTATAAAAATAATGACATAAGAAGGTTTTTGTCTAGCAAAAGTTCTAATGACATACAGCGTCACTGGTTTGTTTTGCCTTACATCAATAAATTTTCGGAAAGATTTTCAAAAATATTTCCTTCAGAATCACATACGCGTTTAGCTTATTACAACCTCGACAAACTGGCTAAATTTATCAAAGTTCTTAAGGATCCTTTGCCCCTTCTCTCACATCCTTCCGTAGTATATAAGATTAAGTGCCGTGAATGTGAAGCTTCGTATGTAGGACAAACTGGCAGAATGTTACAAACCAGAATTAAGGAACATAAAAGCCACATTAATAGAAATTCCACTCAAAAATCTGTAATAACTGAACACAGATTGCAATACTCACATGAATTTGAGTGGGACAGAGTAGAAATATTGGATTATGAAAGATCTTACAGCAAAAGATTGGTATCAGAAATGCTACATATAAGAAGTCAAGTCTGCGGACTTAATTTACAGTGTGACAAATTTAGACAATTCATATTTACCGTTTGTCGATAAGACATCATAAAGTGTTATGTTCCCCGATAGCAAAACGTGCAATCGCACGCGAAGGCACACCGTGCAGTCACGACGTGCGTTCACAGTGGCATCTCTGAGCAACATATATGTAATACTCCTATATTGCTAGTACGGTGCCGACCTGAAACTCACCGTTACGGTGCAGACAATATAGTAGCCTCTCTCTCGCGCAAGATTCAGCTGCTTTGTGCGCATGCGCTTACATTTTGTGAAATTTACTTGATATGAGTATTACATTCAACGTAATATTAGTGATCGTATGAAACAGTTACGTGAAAATTGCGAAGAATTAAAGAAAATTAAAGAAGAAAAAGGTAAAGTATAAAGTATATAATAAGATGTGCGAATATAATTTTGTACTTATAACACAATTTTGTATTGTATAATAGCAAATTCGGCAGCTAAAACTAAATTGCGATTTTTCAAATTTCAGGCGATAATTTCATTACATGGTTCACGATGGTGCGAATTTGTTTTTTGTGCAAGAAGAAAGCAACAAAAGATGTAAATTTTACAATGCACAAGTACATATCTTAGATAAAATATCTCACATAAAATGTGTATTTATAAAATGCTATTATTTTTTCTAATTTAACTTAATTGCATATATTATTATATTTGCTGGAACACATGGTTAGGTTAGGTTATCAAGCAAATTTTATAACACATTTAACAGCATGACGAGATAAATAATTATTTGCAGATTTCCAAAAAACGTGAGCATTCGAGCACAATGGTTGCATGCCTGCAAATTATCTGATAAGGACAATGTGACGAATGTATACATATGCTCTGATCATTTTATACAGAGTGACTATAGACATAGTACGGATCTGCTGTGCCAAAAGAAATGGTTATTGAAACCAGAAGCAGTGCCTTCCATTGGTGTTCCAAATCGTCCAGCTACCAAACTGCAGTTCCAGTCAACATTCAAGAATGTTAATCAAGAGAAACGTAAGTTTTTAACTTTTAACTTTTTTTAACGTTGCTAGTAAATATTACTTAAAATTGTAACAGCTTTGATTCACCATTATTCATATTGTTTTATAGCATCATTGCCTTCGATTGATGCTCTTCCAACTTTCACAGCAGTTGCTTCTAATGTCAAGGAATCAGAGTTTGCATCAACATTCAAGGTTGTTATTCAAAAGAAACGTAAGTTTTTAACTTTTAACTTGTTTTAACGTCGGTAGTAAATATTACTTAAAATTGTAACTTTGATTCAACATTATTCATATTGTTTTATAGCATCATTGCCTTCGATTGATGCTCTTCCAACTTTCACAGCAGTTACTTCTAATGTCAGGGAACCAGAGTTTGCATCAACATTCAAGGATGTTATTCAAGAGAAACGTAAGTTTTTAACTTTTAACTTGTTTTATTGAGGACACTAAATATTAGAGTTAGTTGTTTTTAAATATATTTATCTGCAAAACATCTAGCAAACGGCTCTTATTACCTTTGAAATTTATTATTAGTTTTAACTGCATGAACCTCAATATCTTAATTCGTTTTTGTTTTTGTTTGTACGTTATTTATGTTGCTTTATTAATAACAGGTCATGACAACGAACAGCAAAATCTGTATGCTACTCCGAAGAAACGGAGATTTGCAGAGCCTCGGTACATATCCGAAATTACAACTTCCGATTTTTCATCACCCAAGAAAGCCCGTAGAGTTATTGATATGGTGAAGAAAACCTATAAAGAGAAATGTAATTTGATCCACAATCTGCAGAAAAAAAATCGGGCGCTGTGTAAACGCATTACTACTTTAGAGGACTTGGTAACGCATTTGCGTAAAGAAGCATTAATGTCAGAAGAAGGTGCAGACACTTTAATGGTATATTATCAAAATATTATTAAAATATTCTATCAACATATTATTAAGTGGTTAAATTTGTTTGGATTTCATGATTAGCCACAGAGACAAGCTACATCGTGCCAGAATAATTAAAAAAGTAATAAACAGACTCTGATCATTTTATATTAGTATTTCATGCACAAAATCTTAAAAGGATTTTGTTTATACAATGATGTTAATGTAATTGAAATTATAGATATTATAAATATTGTGAAAAGAAAAAATATAAATATTTTGAAAAAAAATGTTATAAATATTGTGAAAAGAAAAAATATAAATATTGTGAAAAAAAATGTTATAAATATTGTGAAAAGAAAAAATATAAATATTGTGAAAAAAAAAATGTTACAAATATTGTGAAAATAAAAAATATAAATATTATAAAAAAAAATTATACATAGAGTTAGATTAATCTTATTGTTTTAGCATGTTGCTCATTGACGTTTATTACATTCCACTGTAACACATTTTGTCATCTCTAAAAATAAAATAACAGGTAAAATAAAATAACAGGTGAGATTGTAGTTTTAAGTTTAAAAAAAATTTTTTCTGATTTTACTATTATATTTTTTTCTAATTCAGGGTAGAAAAATTTAAAAAAGAGTTATATTTATTGATTAGTTTAAAAAAAGTGTTTTAAAGTATTATTTATATATACAAAAAGACTATAAGCTGCTTATAATTGCATATAATAGCATTGCATGTAGTAACAGAGACCAGCTTTTTACAAAAATTATAAGAAAATGTTTGTTGTTTTCCTAGTTTGTGCAGCACGCTTCTATATAATATCTATCCTTGCCAAAAAATTTTCAACAATATTGATACAAATCATAACAAGTAAAAAAATCACAAAGAAAAAATTTCATGTTTTTCTTTGATAGAACATGATGCCGGAGAAGATGAAACACGTCTTAAGTAGGAAACTAAAAGGCAAGGGACAATACTCGCCTGAACTCCGCAGTTTCGCACTTACATTACATTTTTACTCACCAAAAGCGTACAATTATGTAAGACAAATGTGGGACAATTTACTGCCAAACCCTTCTACCATTCGTAGTTGGTATAGAGTTGTCGATGGAGATCCGGGTTTCACGAAAGAAGCATTGAACGCTATAGCTCTACGCGCGGAAGGACCGAAACCGGTGATTGTAAATTTGGTGATAGACTAAATGGCTATTCGTGAGCAGATAATTTACGATAAAGATAAATTTCATGGTGGCGTCGATTATGGAACTACCAACGACAATGACAATGATTGTATACAGACAGCAAACTACGTTCTAATGTTTATGGCAGTGTCCCTGAATGACAACTGGAAGGTACCAATAGGATATTTTTTAATAAGATCTCTAAATGGTAGTGAACGAGCAAATTTACTCACCCAGGCATTGCAAGCATTACACGATTCTAATTGCAAAGTATTTTCGATAACGATGGATGGAGTAGCATCAAATCTCAGCATGTGCATTGCTATGGGTGCTACGTTTAACTATGGACCTAATTTTAAACCTTATTTTACAAATCCGGTTACTTCTGAGAATTGTTTTGTCTTTCTTGATTTATGTCACTGTATTAAATTGGTTCGAAACACTCTTGGAGACAAACAAATTCTTACGACTACCAACGGTGACAAAATTATGTGGAACTTTATTGTTAAACTTCATCAGTTTCAAAAAGAACAAGGTTTACGAGCAGCTAATAAATTAACAAATAAACATATTAACTATCAAAATAGTAGAATAAATGTTAAATTAGCTATGCAAACTCTTAGCAATAGCGTCTATAAAGCTTTCGATTTTTTAACAAAGATAAATGACAACTCGGTGAAAAGTAAATTTGAGGGCTGCATGCCAACTGCTATATTTTGTCGCCAATTTAACAATATGACTGATATGCTTAACTGCAAAAATCGGTTTTCAAAAGAAACATTTAATACACCTTTAACCGACGATAATTATGAGCAGTTAAAAGCTTTCGCGGTTGATTTTGAGAATTACATTAACACGATCTGCAATGAAAAAGGCACTCCAATTCTCAAAAGTAACAGGAAATCAGGTTTTCTTGGGATTATTGTATGTCTTAGGAATATGTTTTGCCTATTCGATCAACTAAAATCACTTGGCCTAACTTATCTTTTGACATACAAATTATCCCAAGATTATTTGGAAACGTTTTTCAGCGCGATTAGAAGCCGAGGAGGGTTCAATAACAACCCTAATGCCCAACAATTCAAAAGTGCGTATAAACGATTGTTAATTAGACACGAAATTAAAGAGTTTGATAATGGTAATTGCCTTTTTGACGGCATAGACATACTACATGTCTCTTCTACCGTAAAGAATTTAAAATGCCCAATTGGCGATTCCACATTTTTACACGAATCTATTGATTTCGGTCACGACTATATTAAAACATTTTGGGACTTGTCACCATATGTTGACAATGTAGTTCTGTACATCGCAGGCTACGTTAGCAAACACGTTAGCGATAGTTTATATTGTGACATATGTCGGACTCAATTAGTAGGATCGGAACAGCCTTTGCTGTTGTCGATGAAAAATAAAAAATCGTATATTGTACCGTCTGCAGATGTTTGCGCGATTTGTCGTATGTGCGAAAAGATTATTCGAGAAAACTCTGATAATTTACTTAAAAAGAATATTAAGCGCGATCTACTAAATANTATTTTTAATCACATAGGCATTCCGTTTTCGAACGATGAGATGGATACTCATGTGTTATCGCAAGACATTTTAGATAATCATCGCAGTCAGTTATGCAAAAATATTATTAACTTTTATCTTAATATTCGATTATTTTACGAAGCTCATAAAAATTCTGAAAAAGATTTTTATATTCGAAACAAATACACAAAATTAATATTGTTTAATCATAACTAATGTAAAAGTATTCTTAACAAATATCATTTTTAAAAAGTGTTGTGGTCATCAGCACAATCTTTATTTTATCTTTTTCTTATAATTCACATTCAATTTGATCTGATCTATTATGTACGTTCTTTTATGTATTTACTTCTGCAGAGTCGTTTTTTTTCTGAAAAAGAAGATTATTGATAAAAAAATACTTATTTTCATGAAAATGTGAAACAATATGTATGTCAAAATATGCGAATAAACATTCAAGCACATTTTTCTTTCTCGCGTTATTTCTGTCTCACTTTCCAATGCTTTGTCTCGCTCGCACTCACTTGTAGATGCGCCTGCGCATAATGACGCTCGACCATCTATGCCCATATTTGGACTTCGTGCGTCTCCCTTTCTCGGGCCTCGTGCCTCTCATTGCAAAGATACGCGACTAGCAATATAGGAGTATTATATATATGCTGAGCAATCACTGCATGGAAAACGCCATAATAACCGCACAGAGAGCGCACGTGGTGAATATCACAGCGCCGTGCGCGCACTGCGATGAAAATGCACCGTAACCGCACTGCAATGAAAATGCGTCGGAACCGCCGTGGCATGTGTTGTGCTTTCAACACAACAATTAGTGAGTTGTCTTGTCACCACTTGACGTTAATTTGTTTTGTTTTATAAGTATAAGAGCCAATTACGTTTGATTACTACAAAGCAGCTTATTCTAGTGAACAAAGTTATTGTACCAAAAGTGGGAAAAGTGACCAATAATAAAATAAATGAAAAATATCATCACTAACTGTGTTTTACAGGTGGTATGTTTTAGCGAGGTTATTCTCATTGTGGCAGTTGACTCAAGTAAGATACATACAAAATATCACCAATAAATTTAAGTTTAAAGTGTAAAAAAAATAGTTATTGGTAAAAAAATGTGTATTTTATACAAATTTTCTATTTTTCAAAATAATTATTTTCTAAATTTTCAAAATGTCGATCAGGCGACTTATGACAATGTGGTACATATTATTTTTATTTTTCATATTTAATAAAAATTGATTGCATCAAAGTCTCTTCTTCATATGATATAATGATATTATTTACAGGTCAATCATTTCATCTATTTAGGTGGTATGAATCCCGTGGACTCTGCAGGACATTATTTTAAATGTGCCTTTACTAGCGATATAGATATTTTAT